GCCTGTTATGCTTGCGCATCACTGAGAACTATGTCGCGGTTACGCATCTTCAATTACATTGCACGGTGTGGTGCTGTAGCTTTGTCCGGTAGGCATCACGAGCTCAAGTGTTCAAGTTTCAAGTACGTAAGAATTTTTATTATATATGTTAAATCGTATTTATTTGTATCGTATTAGTAGATCTGGGTCAAAGCGTTCGCTGTAAATATTTTCCCGGGTTTGATCCCCGACAGCACGAATGAAATTTGTAATTGCAATTTTCGTCAACATGCATTGGGGAAGCACGGCGGGCATTTCCTTGCCTTAAAACCCACTCAGAAATAAAAAAAGAGTCCTGTGCCCAGTAGAGGGACTTGTATAGCCTATTACTTTACTTTGTAGCAATATTTATATTCGTTTCAGATATAGAAGGGTACCTTATGCTGACAAAAATATCATGTGGAGGCGACGAAAACGTAAAACATCTTTGTACCTAGATAAAACGTTCGAAAGATTGTCAGTCATGTCATACGCCACATTTTCTACAGAGCGTTGAACATTGCAGATAGGGCAAAATAAAAAATAATCCAATATATTATGGGAACTATTTATTAATAATATATACATTTATAGGTATTTATAATAAAAATAATGAACAAGCTGCAAGGTTCAACTAATAATGTTTTTTGTAAACACAATCGTAAAATTCCTGTTTTAATTTTTACCAATGGTTAATTGATGAAACGTAGTCCAGATCACTTCATATAAAATATATTTAATTAAAATTGACACGTGACCTATTTGGCCTTCTACTTACAACTCGGCGTAAATTTGAAAAGAAATTTTGTCTTTTCACACAAGTATTGTTTACAACTGGCGTGGTTTCAAAAAGCGTGATTAAGTGTCAGCGGTATATAATCAATTAAACACTGAACTTTATTGTAATTTTTATTTTTTTATTTTTGTTATATCTTTTTAAAAACTGACGCCATCTCACTATTTTATTATTTGTTTTTTTTTGTACGCATAAGGATAAGTTAGACTAAGTTAGATTAACTTGGACAAGTTTATATTTTTTTTAATTTTATCACAAAATTTCCGCAATAAATTATTACCTTTTCTACAGTGATTCTCCCCTCTTAGTTTCGGCGTGACTGTAGGATGTTATAGTGAGTCACAGTCAGTTACTAAGCGGCCATAAATCATTATACAGACATACATATACTCATTTTTTGATTTTAATATTTATGTTTTTTGAATTGTGATTGATTTTTTGAGACCTGGTAAAATTATTTTATTCCATACGAATTGATGGGCCTGAGTATAATGCCAGTTATGCTCTTTGGCTGAAGTTATTTTTTATTTTATGCTCAATTGCAGACAAAACAATATTGATTGCGCATTTCTAAAACAAAATTTTACCTCTTCTCCTTCTTATAATAGCTCCTGCACCTAACACGGCGGAATAGTCATTATTATCTATAAGACCATTTGCGAAAACAGTTTTTGTTAACAGTTATGAGTGTAACATTTTATCAGCTGCTTTGTTTATAGTGCCTTGAGCAACACTTTGCCGGTTTCTGTACAGAAAATGATGCTGGCTTTGCCAATACGGATGGCCGCTACCATTGAATATAATACCCGCTAAGTTACACTTATTTACATAGAAACTTTAATTACCATTTGCATAAAATTCTAAATAGCATTTTTACACAAGAAAGTAAACTTTTAGATCAGTCCATTTTGTTTTTCACTAATTAAGTAAAAAGTAAAACAAACCAATAGGGCCGGGAATGAAAATTTTTTGCAATTTTTTATAGAAAAGCATGGCCTTATCATAATATAAAAGTCAATCATTTAGCCATGTGATAAAGCTTTTAAGTGTGCCAGTCAAACATTAATGATGATATTCGGGTCATCATACTGGAAATAGTCTTTTAAATATTTTGTAGTACAATTGATAATCTTCAGTATGATTGACCGTGTATATGACTTTTATAAGTCTATGTTATTTTTGATGAAAATGATTATTGCAGATAAAAGCCCTTTCACATTTATTTTAGTCTCGAATTAAATTAATCAAAATGAAAATAATATTTTTTTAATTCATTGAACTTTTTTAAGATTTTGTTGAAACTCTACTGGTAAAAAAAAATCAAATATATACATTATAAAAAAAACACAAATATAATATATATATATATATATATATATATATATATTATAGTTCTTGATAAAAATAATATATGCGCGTTACATCGCATCCCATCAAGAATTTCTAATGTAATTCTTGGTGTAAAGCTAAGACGTGATAATAACTGTAAACAATAGAATAACAAAATAATGAAAACATTTACATTTACATACAAAACATTTACAAAAATACTTGCTTAATAACCTAATAAATATTATTTGACCGTAATAAAATAAGACAAGGTAGTTTTGGGCATGAAAGTAAAAATAAATATTTTCGATTATTTTTGCAATATCTAAGAGCCGGATCAGCGGGCGATTCTGATCCATCTAAAGATGCTAAATTTCAGCAAGCACTGTCAAATTCAATAGAAGCGACAGAAAAACGGTTCTTTATATAGAAAGGTAAATAAATTATTTAACCTATAAAGTAAAATCACTTTATTACAAATCAAAATAGCCCAATAGCTTTATTAACATGAGACATAATTGTACGAGTGCTTAACATTATTTTACTGAAATCTCAGAAAGTTTTTTTTAAATAGAATAAGGGTGACAAACGAGCACACAGTCCCCCTGATGGTAAGTGGTTGCTACGGCCCATACACATCTACATTTATTCTTGATTACGTATCAAAATGTAGATGCGTTGTCACCCGTGAGGACTAAGATGTAATGCCTCGTTTCCAGTAAAAAGGTTCTCCGGTTCTCTACACTCACCATACGAAACACAGCAGGGTTAAACTGCTATTTTACATTTTATTCCGTGAGAGCGTGGCCCTTCCCCGGTCGAGCCGACCCATTCGTGCTACAACTATACCTAATAAATATAGCTGTAGCATGGCTCTACCACGTAAAAAAAATTGATATTGAAAATTGAAGTATTTTTAGAAGCAACTTTGCAATTATTTTCTATTGAGTTAATTTTTGTGGAATCGTGTTTTGCAAACCGCCACCTAAAATACATACAATTTTTTTTCGATAATGACGTGAAATTACAAAACGATCCCCATGCATTTCAATGTGGCTCTATTTAGCCTCTTAATATGAACATACCTCGGATTTCAGAGATAATGGAAGATATAATATTATATTATTACTGTTCCGTGTGAGGCAACCTTTATACTTATATACATATTCTCATCATATTTTTATGGTTGGTTAGAAAAATTATATCTAAATACAAACTTTCACAGGGTCAATTTTTTTTTACTATTTTTACCCAGCAAGTAGTAAAGCAACTACAATCCCATCGGTGAGTGGTTATGTAGTCTAAGATGGTGAATTGCACTGACTTAACAAAAACCTATTCACTCTTGCCTAATTACCTATTGTACTAGGTAAGTATTATTTGCGACCTATTTGTGTGTGTGTGTATGTGTGTGTGTGTATGTGTGTGTGTGAAGAAAAGTGTATGAGAATACGTGAAGAGGAATAAAGGTTGAGTACTTATTCGCTTACCTGTACGAGGTTGCCACTCGAGGACCTTTCTTCCTATTTTTTATATGTTTTCCAAGTTATATAGCTAGCCCATTGCCATTTCACTGTAATATTCCGTTGAGCTATGTCAGTTACTCTGATTCTAATGCAAATACCTTCATTTCTAACTTTATCACGTAGAGAAACCCCTATCCAATTTAAAATTTTTACATTTTTTAGATGATAGTTTGTCTAACATAAAAAAACCATAAACCCAAGAATGTCTTTATATAGTTATTTATACTTAGGTAAGCACCATTCTTTTATTTATTTAAATTGTTTGATTTAATTTGATAACAGTGTACCTAAATGTAAGTATCTGTATCTTTATTTCTCTCCCCAATAATATTTTATAAAGTCATACTTATAAAAACAGCGTTTTATTGTAATACATAATTATAAAATTCATTATCAACTAATTAATAAAAATATGTAACAATAAAATTACATAGGTATTAAAAACGATCGAAATCTAAGTAACGAGAGCATGTTCGTCGTTCCACATCTAAATTATATAAAAATGCATGTTTCGATGTCACAAATCAACGTCGCCGCAAAAATTTCTTCTTCTTTGGGCACTTTAAAAATTCATTTATTTAGAAAATAATATTTACAGTTACCAGTGTACAGATATTAACTAAATTAAGTATTTCTAGCCATAAAAATATTTATAATTGAGTATAAACTTTTAAAAAACTAATATATATTTGAACGAAGTCGCTCCAACACCGACGTGCGGTCCACCCTCGACGATGTCCGAAAACGGACTGTGACAGAGCTTACATGGCGACGGAGCATGCGCGCTAGCGTAAATAGATTCAATTTCAGGGAAAAATGATATATTCTCTTATAAACGGGTAATAAAAATAAAACTCTCAATTAAAAATATTAATATTTTCAAGACCTTTTTTTTAGTGTAAGAACTATTTAAAAAGCTTTTGCCGTTTTGGAGAAATTTTGCAAAATATGACAAAGGTAGGTACTCTTTGGGGATTTTTTTTCTAATAAGGGGTTGACAAAAATACAATTTTGTTAAATTAAAAACATTAACCAAATCTTCTTCTGTTATCTTGTATTTTTTCTTTGTGGATTAAATGAACACTTATTGAGATTTTTTTACTTAAATATCCTAGATTTAGGCATTTCAACCACTGTTAAGGCCTTAAATCACAGTAATCAAAATATTGATTTCATATCGAAAACTAAAAAAAAAACGATTAAATAAGTGAACACAATCCTTTCATCTCGCCGTAATATTATAGACCTTATATTTTAAAGTAATAATTTTTTTTCTCTCAGCACCCTGCCGCAAAGAGCAGCGGCCGCTGTCGCTCGACGCGACGGCCATCATGAAAGAGAAGAGTAAAAACGCGGCGCGCTCCAGACGTGAAAAAGAGAACTCCGAATTCCTCGAACTGGCGAAACTCCTTCCACTACCGTCTGCTATCACATCACAACTGGACAAAGCGTCCGTGATACGCTTAACCACCAGTTACCTGAAGATGAGGCAGGTGTTTCCTGATGGTGAGTCCTCATTTCATTTTTAAAAAGGATAGCAATAATAGCAGTTAATGGTTGCTTAATATTTATGTACCATTGTCCATATCACTATCCCACCCGATGTTGTTGATGTTCTCGAAGTTGGTTAAGCTTACTAATTTTTTTATTTAACAAAAACATATTCATTCTTGCCTTGAAGACACCACCACTTTAATCTGATGGAAAAGCAGATGCTCGCAAATTATCCCACTCCATTGGCGAACGCATTATGAACGAAGCAAACTGTTTGTTTTAAATGCGTGGTCTGTCGACAAAAAGGAAGTGGAGACTGGCCGAGCGTCTGGTTGCCCGATGGTGGAAGGAAGAGGGAGGAGTTTAAGCCGCATGGTAGTGGCGAGAGGTAATCGATCTCCAGTTTTTTTTTATTTATAGGTGGGCAGTGCCCTGGGGCGCCCAAGCTAAAGGGGCTCTTCGGTCTCCATGAACGACGTTTGAAAAAAAAATTATAAGATTTTAGATAAATAAAGAATTTTAGACTTTTAGGTTTTTGGCCGCTGACCAAAAAAAACCTTGAATGGCTCGAACTGAAATCACAAAAATTCCAGAGTATAAACATAACATTAAATCAATCTACAATCTATACAAATAAATAAAATTTAAGTGTCTGTTTGTAATGTTAAAATAGCAGCTTTTTACTAAATTCATATGAGTGTATATACGGTACTTATAACAAAAAACACAATTTTTTAAAATTTTTGTCTGTCTGTCTGTCGGGCTGTCTGTTTGTTCCTCAATCTAAGGATAATCTCCGAAACGGCTAGACTGATTTCGACGGGACTTACACTCTCAGATAGCCGATGTTCTAAGGAGTAACTTAGGCTACTTATATTTGAGAAAAAGAATTAGGGTTCTGAGCAAAATAATTGAAACCCTAAATAACACGCGGGCGAAATCGCGGGGAACAGCTAGTCTATAATAAAATTGTCTACTTCGTTTATTATCTACCTATAATAATAACTGTAATCTACTGTATTTTGCCCCGAGGACCTTGGTTACATAGCTATTGATTTTAAGCCAGTGCTTTACTATAGTCCCATCTGATGGTAAGGTGGTAAAGCCCTATTCAGTCATGCCTTGAAGACACCCAGATTGTAATGGGACGGAAAGATACCACATATCAGGAAAGACCAGAAAGATCTTATTAAGCTATACTTCAGATAGATTGCGGCATAGCTTTCATCTACGCCAAGTGTTAAATATATTCTCGAGAAATAATTCCTTCCATAATGGTTTCTTCTGTTTACATGAACACTTTAAATTGGGGCTTTCAACCGATTTCAAAAAGGAGGAGAGGTTTACAATTCGTCGGAATCTTTTTTTTATGTATGTTCACCAATTACTCGAAGACGCCTGAACCGATTTGGAAAATTCTTTTTTTGTTTCAAAGGGTATACTTGTCAGTTTAAAAAAAAATCAACAACAAATTATATTTATATTGAAATCGGTTGTACCAAATTTTTAATTTTACCACTTGTTACCATATTTATCCCGTTTTAAAAAATATATATATTTAAGGCGTTTCGAGTAGTTACCTACATTAGCACTCCTGGTCACGGGACAACGAAGATGTTTGGCGTCCCAATACCATAAATAACCACGGGTATTATCAGTTTAAAATTATTAATTTAAAAAGAAATTAAAAAATAAATAGCTTTAATCTGAAGGTAGCCGTGGTTAACTATGAGATAGGACGTCAAACACCTCAGTATTATGGGTCCTGTAAAGAAATTACTCGAAACGTCGGGAACGTGAAAAAGCTAATAAAATGCGATAAACTCCGTAGAAACTAATTTCATTATTTCGCATACCTCCACACATCTCACGATCCTATCTTCAAACGTATCTCTCATTTACATAGGTCTCGGAGACGCTTGGGGAGCAGCACCACCACCTCTACAACCGCGCGAGCTCTCCATCAGGGAGCTGGGCTCGCATCTTCTCCAAACCTTGGACGGATTCATCTTCGTCGTGGCACCGGATGGGAAGATCATGTACATCAGTGAGACCGCATCGGTGCATCTTGGACTCAGTCAGGTTCGTGAAACGTATGTAATTCAATTATTTATAAGAGTTGATCAGGCTAACATTTTTCAAGTGTAATAATTTTTGTTTTTTTTTTTATAGGATAAGGGTGACAAACGAGCACACAGTCCACCTTATGGACCCATAGACAGCTACATGTATCCTCAAAATACACATGCGTTGTCAGCCGTGAGGACCAACATGGAACGCCACTTTTCCAGTAAAAAGGGGCTTCGCTTCTCTACACTCATACAACATACGAAACACAGCAGTATTTTACGCCGGTATTCTGTGAGAGCGTGGTACTTCCCCGAACGAGCCGACCCATTCGTGCTACAACTATACAATTTTTACCCTTTTTACTCCAAACGAGGCATTCCGTCTTAGTCCTCATGGTGACAACGCATTTGCATTTGGATTCTATCCTCCATTAAGAATCCAAATGTAGACGTCTATGGGCCACAGCAACCACTTACCATCAGGTGAACTGTGTGCTCACTTGTCACCCTTATCGTATGAAAAAAAATATAGAATGCAACATTAACAGGTAAACGGATCTCCGAGTCTCCATTCGAAACTATTGAAATTAACACCTAATTTACGGCTTCAATTAGATCATCGTATAATCATCTGCGGTAAACGTACGGACACCGAGGTCTCTGAATGTTCCGCTTTGCTAATTTAGATACGGAACATTAAAGATACCTGATATTAAAGATTAACTGTAGTAATTCCGCAGGTAGAGTTGACCGGCAACTCAATATACGAGTACATTCACCAAGCGGACCACGAGGAGATGAGCGCGGTTCTGAGCCTGCAGCATCCACACTCTTATTTAGGACACCAATATTCAAGCTTGGGGTGAGCATATCAATGTTTTTAATTTTCTACCGACTTCAAATAAAGGACGTTCCCAATTCGATTTGTTAATTTTTTCATAAGTATTCATATTCATATGTTCTGCGTTAACTTTTACCACGTCAACCGATTTCAATGATTATAATATATATTCTATTTAATTTTATGAAGTTTGTTTTTATTTATTTTTATGTTTAATTTTTATATCGCATTTTAATGTTTCAAATAATGTTTTATCGATCACCACTCAATGTGAATTTTTCATACTCCCTGTATGAAGCATTGCAAAATTCGAACACTAGAAGGAGCAAATATTTATTTTAAAAAAAAACTTGTAAAAGCCGACTTCAAGGAACTAAAATGAAAAAAAAAACAAATATTTCCGCATGTTAAGTTTAAAAGTAGGTGATAAGATATAGTAAAGCTCCCGACCTCTGAAGTTATTGTGAGAAAATATTTTTTCATGTTAGTTCCATCACGAAGTTGATGTTTTTTTTCTACCGACTTCAAAAAGGAGACGGTACTCAATTCAACTGTAGGTTTTTATTAATGTGTGTTACCTCATAACTTTTTACTGGTTGAACCGATTTCGATGATTCTTTTTTAATTTGAAAGCTGGTTATTTGAAATTTTCAATTTTAAATTATTTCATGTTAGTTCCATGAAGTTGAAGTCTATATTTTACCCTTTAAAGTGGACTCAGGAATATCAAAAGCTCGAATTTCCTTTAAATAGTTAGATTAAAAACTTTATCCCCCCCTAAAATGTGGAATTTTATCTCCAAATATGTATGGGACCATCCCCGAAGGTTATACACCTACTTAGTAAAAAAAAACGAATCATTAAAATTGGTCCATAATTGACGAAGATATCGAGTAACATGCATATACAAAAAATATTGGTAAATCCAAAAGTGCACACCTCGAACGGGACGGTTTACAATAGTGAAATTCAAAAGATTTTCTAAGTCGGAGATTACACGCTCAATCTGGCGTCAGTTCAGTCTGTGACCTTGATCACGTATAGACTGATGGCTGAATGATGGATTGACGGGAGGTATTAGACGGTAAATCAGACTGACGATCAGTCCAACCGAAAACTTCTACGCGATCACACGCATACCCATAGGTATGGATTTTAACAAGAAAAAATTGAAGAATTCACGGCGATAGTTGAATCATAGGGTATTAATTTTCTTTTTCACGTCTATTACATTAGCTTGGGGTTTTTTTTTCAAAATTAATAATAGTTTCTGCAGCGCCTCGGTTTTTTATATTTATTCACATGTTGGTTATTCGTTTTATCCCAAAGAAAAGGTAAAACTTCTAAAGTTCTCTTCTAAAGTGACGGCTCCGTGGTGCAGTGGCTTAGTAACGAGTTGCAGCAGTCGGGGCCGCGGGTTCGAATCCTGCACGGAACAAGTATATGTATGGCCTGCATATAATTGTTCCTGGTCTCAATGTTTGCCCTTGTGCAATATATGTTTGTAAACTGCCTCCACGGTACAGGAGAAAATCCTAGTGAGGGGTAACATTTAAAAAGAAAAAAAAAGTTGTAATAAATTATTTCTCCTGGGCTGATGGTTGAGAAGGGGACATGGGGGGTGGCGCGGGTGTCACGCACGCGGCGACACGCCGTGCGACACCATCGCTGTCTGCAATAGTATATTATCTATGGCTGTCTAAGCGGTGACTGACGTCAGACTGATAGCTATGAAACACAAGTTCAGTCTGGCATCAGTCTGATCAGACTGACAAAAATTATTAAAATACTAGCTGTTCCCCACGACTTCGGTCGTGTGTTAGGGTTTTATGTTTTTGCGCAGAACCCTAATTCTTTTTCTAAAATAAAAGTAGCTTAAGTTACTTCTTATGAAAACAACTATCTGTCAGTGAAAATCCCGTCAAAATCGGTCTAGTCGTTTCGGAGATTAGCCGGAACAAACAGACAGACAGACAAACAGAAAAATATTTAAAAAATTGTATTTTAGATATAAGTACCGTATATATTTTCATATGCATTTAGTAAAAAACTGTAATTTTGACATTACAAACAGACACTTCAATTTTATTTATTTGTATAGATTTAAATAATCATCATTCTGGACCATCAATCCATCAGACTACACGTACACAGTCAGTTTCCCGTCATTCTGACGTCAGTCATGGATTGAAATGACGCCAGATTGAGCGTGTAACCTCCGTCTTAGGATTAAACTAAAGCTAATAAAAAAAAAAACAAAGTGATAAGTTCAGTTTTTCGAAAGATATCTTGTTCACATCCATATCGACCAACTGGCGGCCAAGTGAAATTATTTACAATTAACGTTTTTTTTTTAACAATAATAGAAATAAATAATCTTATAACTACGTATATAATACGTATATAATACTTCTGTATTTATTGAAATTTCCTCTTGCAATTATTGGTGTACTCTTTTGTTATATAAGTGCAATATAAAGCTGGTGGAAGGGATTTAAGTTGAGTGGATCGCGATTTATTTATTTCATGAATTGTCATCGTCCTTTCGAAGTTGTAGTGCTCTATTGAGAGCACTACATCTTCGCTTCGCGTTCGATGTGTGCGAAAAGAACATTGAAATCCTTCTCCTTTTTATGAAGTCGGCCAACAACTCAAACTTATCTTTCGAAGTCTGGTCGTGTTACCGAAATTTTATTTTCTTACTATAGAAAAAAAAAAGAGTTTTAATTTAACTTCAACGGTGAACTTAGATATCCAGTGGGCGGCACGTGGGGCCCCACAGTGGACGTGGAATGCGAGCGCGCCTTCTTCATACGGATGAAGTGTGTACTCGCAAAGAGAAACGCGGGACTCACGACGTCCGGATATAAGGTAAAATAATTACAGGACGCATGTGAAAGAGACAGCACGAACGCAGTGAAAGGGATATCAGATGATATACCAGTTGAATTACAGTATAGGTACCAGTTTGAAATACTAGTAGGTATTTTTTTTTATAGAATGAAGGTGACAAACGAGCATACAAACCGACACACATATGGTAGTGGATGCTTTGACCAATAGGCACCTAGATTAGGAATCATAATGAATATGTGTTGTCACCCCCGAAGACTAAGTTGAAATGCCTCGTTTCGATTAAAATGGGTCTACGGTTCTCAACACACACAGCCAACCCCTTTGTTACAATCATAATATAGTTGCAGCATGGCTCTACCACGTAGAGAGAGAGCGACGAGAAGGGAGAAGCGTTGGCTTTCCATCTCCACACTAAGTCCTCACAAGTGACAACGCATCTACATTTTGAGCCTTAAATCAAAGAGGTCCAGCCAATTAGGAGGAGTTCAGTCACACACACACGGACAGAAAAATTATATAATATGTGAATTAATTAATATATGTATTATACAAATAAACCTTCCTCTTAAATTGTTCTGTCTACTGATGAAAACCGCAAAAAAATACTTAGCGAAGTTCAAAAGATCTAAGCGTACAGATCATGGGATGCGACTTTGTTTTATACGTTATTCTTTCATTTTATTTTGGTTTAAATTTCTACTTTACAATTTAACAACAGATTTTTTAACTAAAAATGTACTATTTGTCATATTAAAGGAATGATAAGAAATAGAAAACTACCTTCTCAGGTCATCCACTGTTCAGGCTACCTGAGAGCTCGTAGATTCGGCGAGGCTACAGCACCTCTAGGTTTGATTGCTGTGGGACACTCACTGCCGCCATCTGCCGTCACCGAACTCAAGCTCCACTCCAACATGTTCATGTTCCGAGCGTCGCTGGACATGAGACTCATATTCCTTGACGCTAGGTAAGCTCTTTTTTGAATTTAAGTTTATATTTTCTTTTTAGTTTTTCTACCGCACCATTTCGTCCCATGACGTACTAAGAGGCGACTATGAAATGTGCCAAAAAATCTTATGACTTACGATAGGTGGGCGATACCCGGACTGGCGACAGACACACAGCATCAAAGGTGCAAAACTTCTAGTAGTGCGTTCGTCACTGCAAAGGCACTAAAATGACAAATGATCTTTTTATAACATAGTTACCTAGCGAGCCTGATTATATACATTGTTAGTATTTAGGTATTATTTTAGTTATTGTTGGTTTAGGGTATAATATTGTATGTTATTATAGTCATAAGTCTGAATTTAGTGCAGAGGAGTGTAACATAGGTACATAGACATGTGTAGCGAGTGCGAGATCGTGAGGCGAGGCGGTGAGTCGTAAAATAAACATGGAGGCAAATTAGCAAACGAACGGTGTCCGATAATATATTACACTTTTTTCTTTAAAAAAACGTTACCCCCACACTAGGATTTTCTCGTGTATCGTGGAGGTAGTTTACAAACATAAATTGCACAAGGACAAACATCCAGACCCGGAACAATTACTTGTAGGCCATACAAATACAGTAAATTCTAGTAACTTCATGACAATATCAATACTTTTTTTACCAACAAACTTAGAGTGAGTAACCTCTGAAGACTCAAATGGAAACGAGACGTTTCATTTTTGTTTGGGACTTCAGATACAACGTGGCAACCTGGGAAATTCTGGGCAAGTTGGTAAATCAACCCATAAATATGCTCAACACTAAAACCGTAAGAATAGTATAGAATAGAATGGAATAATTTTTATTCAATATAGATCACATGTGTAATTTTTATTGAAAGTGATTTTTTACTTTACCACTGGTGAACAAACCTCTCTGTCCTGGGAGGAACCAGCAAGAAACCCAGCGGGTAATATAGCTGCAGCTATATTATGATTGTAACACGGATGTGTCGGCTCAAATGGGATTATGACCCCGCTCTCACAATATACCAGAGTGAAATATAAGCTCAATGCTGCTGTGAACGACTTTTTACTGGAAACGAGGTATTCCATCTTTGTCGTCAGGGGCTATTACATACGCATTATGCCTGTCTAAATATATGATCTTTTTATCGTTCCGTACCCAACAGGACCCTTTTACTAAGCCTCTGCTGCCGCCGTTCTGTCTGTCAGCGGGCTGTATCTCATGATCCGTAATAGGTAGACAGTTGAAATTTTCACAGAATGTGTATTTCTGTTGCCGCTAAAACAACAAATTAAAAAATTAAAATAAACTAAAAATTAAAAGGGGCTCCCCTACTAGAAACGTGTATTACGATGGTACGGAACCATTCATGCGCGAGTCCGACTCGCACTTGGCAGTTTTTTTTATAAAATAAGGGTGTCACTCACACACAGTCCACCTGATGGCAAGTGAATGCTGTGACCCATAGACATCTGCATCTATACTCGATTAAGAATCAAAATGCAGATGCATTGTCACACCTGAGGACAAAGATGGAATGCCTCGTTTCCAGTAAAAAGGGTCTACGATTCTCTACACTCACCATACGAAACACGGCAGCATTTAGCTGCTATTTCACTCTGGTATAATGTGAGAGCGTGGTCCTAAACTCGTTTGAGCCGACCCATTCGTACTACAACTATAATATAGATGCAGCATGGCTCTACCACCTAACTATCTGTCGCTATTAAAGCTAAAATTTTCTGAAACCGCAAACTGCAACTTCTATTTTGTTAAAATAAATTTTCTGATATTTCTATAATACATTTTTTATGTAATGAGAAAGACAGACGCGCCAAAAGTCCAACCGATGATACTTGTATATTGCAGCTCACCTGCAGACAATTCCTTACAAAGATGGCGCCAGATGCGTTGTCACTGCTTTGACCTATGATATGCTGTAATCACAACCACAACTTGCTCTCTAACGTCTCAAATCTGAAACCAACACATAATCTTACTCGTATTGCACATATTGTCAAATCATCTGACATTTCTACAAAATATGCATTTTTAATTGTTATCCCCGCGAAATAATAATGGATTTTCAAGAGTTATTAAAACCTCCGACGCCGACACCGGAACGTACCGCTGCTAAACAATTTCACACCACAGTACTGTGGCGGCGATACATCGATATATCGATGTTTATCGATATTGTACATCTATGCCGAAATTTGTACAGTTAATTTTTACATATCAATATTGTTTACTCTATGAACTCTTTATTATAAAAATAGCTTGAAACATTTAAATTAAATAAAAAATTCAAAATAAATGAGATATATAAAAATATTTAAGATCCTAAAGTAGCTCCTTCTGGTATCCCAACTACAATTTTATTTTTCAAGACAACTATAATTTTATATTCAAGTTTACTACTAGATTATATAAATAGTTGAACTCACCCTAACCTTTGATTTGGAAAATAGACAACTAACTTTAAAAAATATTGGTAATAAAAAGCATTCTTTAAAAATGTCAATTAATAACGTTTAAAACCGCTGCTATTCGAAAAAATATAGGCTGTTGCTGATGAAGACATCCGCGTTTTTGAATAGTCAGTTAATTACTGCTTGTATACGTCCCACTGTCTCGCACAGTCCTCCTCTCATTTCTGAGAGTTTTTAGGGCAAGAAAGTGTCTGCAGCGGTGCTCCAATGCGTGTTGGCGGCGATATGTCTTCCAAATGCTATTATTTTTTTTATTATATAGTAGGCAGGTAACAAATCAGCAGTTACAATTGCAACTATTAATCAAGGGGATCGAACTCTAGTATACTGTGAAATTTACGAGGAGCGTTTAACCCTTAAGGTAGCACGATTTTTTGTCCAAACATAAGCCTCCTCTTGGGATATTTACCACAGTTGCCACGCTTGCCAGTCGGCAGTGTATTTTTTAATTTTAGTAGTTATTAGGCAAACGCTGGTGCTCATCTCCTTGTTTGTTTTCCTCTGTCGGCTCTTTCGACACCCTCGATACGATATGTGGTAGTGGATATTTTTCCTCTTTTAAATACTGTTCTAATAATATAACAGAATATTTCTTCATTGCTCAATCTGCAAATGGCAATATTCACCAGTTACAATAGCATTTCAACAAATTACAAAACTCGTGTAGTAAATGTATGAAAATGTCACGTATTTACTATCGAAGGAGTGATACCGATGTAAGCAATTAATTTTTAACTATAAACAAGTGTTTTTTTTTTTATATATAAAAATCTTTTATACCTAATTTATTTTCTATATAATTTAAAATTAAATATTTTGTACAACCGACTTCAATATAAATTATTAAGAATAACTCAAAAGGTATTGGTCAGATAGAGAGATATATGGAACAACATGATTGTGAAGCACCACCTTTCAAATAAAAAGAATCATCGAAATCGGTCCACCCAGTAAAAAGTTATGAGGTAACACAAATAAAAAAACAGTGAAATTGAGTACCGTCTCCTTTTTGAAGTCGGTAGAAAAATGCCTACTGTTCACGGCACGCAAATAACTACAAAAGGTGGTTATAGGTTCGTTATCACCTTTGGGAACTAAAATATAATGATCTTCGTCTTTCGAAAAAAAAAACTGCTGCCACTTGAGCAACACCTGCTATAGTAAGGATTTGCGTAACAACTAATGTTACGCTTGGCAAGCACATTCAGTTGCAGTACCAGAATATTCTAGATCTAATTTTGGAGAGTCTTTCGCATAGGAACATGTTTTCAGTTACCTCACAATGGTTTTAATGTAGACTAGGTTTTTTTAGTATAAACTTTGAGGTTGGAAACATTTTTTTTTTAATTTAGATTCTTCTTGAACCTTTCATTAATTTTTAGTCATGGTTTCTTGGATGTCATACCAGACTTCCTAGCATATTTGATACAGTGATCCAATCATCTTTTGATGACCATAACATTTATCTGGCGTAAATCGATAAGGGTAAGACAGGGTAGGAAAATTAATTTTCACGTCACTGCAGTGCAGACACTGAATACGGTGACAGTGTTCTGTGAAGAACGTAGGACAAAATTAAGGTCTTCTATTTTATTGAGCAACCAGACGATTGTAATTTATATCGTTGAAAGAATCTGAAGATAATTACTTAAATAGATGATCCGATACCGTCGAAAGCACTTTTACAAGAGAATATTTACTACGTTAAAGTGTCATTAATATCACAATCAAAGAAAGTTACAGTCCCGTCCCTATTGACATTGGCCGATAATAATTTATATGGCATTCCGAGGAACTCGCCGTATCGGCCAAACAATACGACTCTCCGGCCCTCCAGTGCGATGTCCAGTGGTGTCGACACAAGTAAACTATGCAACGGGTTTAACAAATATGTTTCCGTTAACATTTTCAATGAATTTCATTCTAAAAACTCTTTAAACACAAATATGTATGTGTATTAATCAATATGAATAAATTAAAAACAATAAATATTATAGACTTCTTTTATGCCTAGGTTATATGGGTAGATAACATCCTCTTAACTATTTCTGACACCAAATAGCAGTGCTTGCACTGCTGCGTTCCGATGTGAAGGGTAGACAGCCAGTATAATTATAGACTAAGAGGCATTCCATCTTAGTCCTCACAGGTGACAACGCAACTGCAGCCTTCTTTTTTTGAAGTTAGCTCCAGGTGTCCATGGACTGCAGTAGCCACTTCATATCAGGTGGGCTGTCCGTTTGTCACTTCAGTTTTTTTTAAAAAAATATTTTATAATCAGTGAATTGCGATTTTTTTTTGGGTAACCTAAAAGATATCTTACCTTTTTTTACAATTATAAATAATTACGCCTCTTAAGATACACAGGACGAAATAAGGTGATGGATTATCTACATCGCTTTTACACGGCAATGACTTACTAGTTGTAATTATGCAGTACTAGCTGTTCCCCGCAACTTCGCCCGCGTGTAATTTAGGGTTTTAATTTTTCTGCGAGGAACCCTAATTCTTCTT